TGACATCACAGAAGCAAGATATACTTTTTTTTATTCTTATAAGGGTTTATGGAACATTCCTTATTTTTACAGATCAAAGCAATTTTAGAAAAGCACCTCACATAACGCTTGCAAAGCAATACAGTGGGCATTGCACAGCAGCACCCGGCTTAGGCATCATTTCAGAGTGGATGTAGATTAAAATCCCATCTACATTAACTGTATAATATATCTAAGCACCATGCAAGTTTTCAGCACCATGGTATAATAGCACCGTAATTTAAAACAAAAAACCAAAGCTGCTCACTTAACTTAGAGGTATGTGTACCTATTAATTTGTCCTTCTACATAAAACAAGGTGAGCAGCGCTCCAGATTCAGAGTCTCCAGCGACCTCTGGCAAAGGTGGAAATCCTGGAGGCGTTTATCTTTCAAGCTCACTTCTGTGGCTCATCTCCCTATATGGAGATCCAGGATTAGACAGACTACAATTTGTAGGAAATAATTGAGTTCAGAGGTGTTCTGTGATTAAGGTTCACATGGCAGCAGCTGAGTGTCTGGTTCCGTGACATGATTGGGGCCCACGATACAGAGAGATGAACTCACTGGGAACTGTAGATTTAGTGAACAGTCGTCCTTCATGTAGCATACATGCTCTGCATGCAGGAGATTCCAGGTTCAATCTCTCATTTCTCCGTCCAAAGGATCCCAGGTGGAGAGGGCTGAGAGAAACCGGAGTCTGAGATTCTGGAGAGGTGACTGGTGGCCACGGGCTGGAATGATGGGAACATCTGGGTATCTGTATTTCTTCACTATGCGTACGGTGAATGGTTCATGTGGGGGAATTTAGATGGGCTGTACTGACACAAAATAAACAGACTGAGGCTCTAAACTACCTGACTGACATCTCCAGGGTGACGGGAGGAAGTGCTGTGGAATTGGGAGCACAACAACAGGATTGTGCCCAATGTTCCCTCTAAGCTGTGAAGTCTTGTGAGCAAAAATTCTACTTTGTGAGCTGCTGGCATTAAAGTTGTGAGCAAGCGATTTGGCTACCGTATAAATTAGTTTGCTCTGGAGCCATCCTTCCTGAGCTAAGACAAAAATGGGTGAGCTGGAGGCTAAAAAACTGTAAGCTAGCTCACACTAATTCAGCTTAGAGGGAACACTGATTGTGCCCATCGCAGACCAACGTCTGTCTGTTTGGGACGTCTGAATGCAGCCGTTATATCCGAATCAACCATGCACCAGCTTTAGGAGTACCACGTTGTCAGTTGATGATCTGGATCTTTCTTCCTCGTCTGCATTCTTTTTTTCAAGAAACATCTCTTACTTAAACGTGCTCTGCCTCAAAATAGCACAGCTCTAGAAAATTTAAGAACGTTAAGAGCCGGGAGCCCTGAACAGGTGACCGTTGCGAAATGAGCGATTCTGGGTGAGGAGGTGCGTCATTATTCGCTTCCAAAGATGCACCCCAGCCCTTCCCTGGAGGCTTGCAGACCCAGACACATGGTTCATCTGTGTTAGTTGCACACACAGAAAACGACACGTGCATTGATTGTCCTTGCTTGTTCAGGGTGCAGATCTTCAGCCAGTGGTGTCTCTACAGGAGCCTAGCAGAGCGAGCACAACTTGACCGAAGGCCGATCAGCTATGTGGCTCCACAACTATCCTTCGAGGACAGGATGAAGGAGGAGTGGGCAGGAGAAAGATGGGCAGGTGAGCAGGTTGATACAGTAAAGGTAAAAAAAAGAGTATCATACAAAAGATATCAAATTAAAAGAAGCCCCGTGTTGCAAATCTGCATTAAGGGTAGGGATGTACTCGGCTTTGGAAAGGCTGAAGGACACTTCATTAGACCTTGGAAGGATAAGCATCAGGAAACCCACAACATTCTTTAGTTTTGACTTGGCAGCCCTGGTTCTCAACCATGTCACAGTTTAAGGTGTGGCCGACTGCGAGGTCCCGTTTTGTTAACAGCCCAGGATCTCCGGCATGTGGCACAACACTGATGTTTCACAGACGGTGTGGAACATTTGCCAAGACCCCTCAGTCTCTCACAGAAAGTCAATGATAGGTTGTCTTTACTGCAAGGGAAACCTGGAATGAGAAAAGACGCATGTGAGTGTATGAGCACTGTGGACTGCAGGGAAAGAATCATTCACAGAGAACGCATATGCACAATAGAAGTATTTGAAGAAGAAAAAGAAGTAGAGATTGGATTTATACCCTGCCCTTCACGCAGAGTCTCAGAGCGGCTTACAAACTCCTTTCCCTCCCCCTCCCCACAACAGACACCCTGTGAGGTGGGTGGGGCTGAGAGAACTCTGACAGAACTGTCCTTGAGAGAACAGCTCTGCCAGAACTACGGCTTGCCCAAGGGGATCCAGCAGCTGCAAGTAGAGGAGTGGGGAATCAAACCCGGTTCCCCCAGATTAGAGTCTGCGTACTTAACCACTACACCAAACTGCCTCAAGATATGAAACATGAGCCCTGACCTGGATAGCCCAGGCAAGCCCAATCTCATCAGATCTTGGAAGCTAAGCAGGGCTGACTCTGGCAAGTATTTGGATGGGAGACCTCCAGAGAATACCAGAGTCGGGAGGCCAGAAGCAGGCTATCAAGCCACTTCTCTGAATGTCCTCTGTGCCCCAGTAGGAGTCACCCAGAGGTTGCCATGACTTCCAAGCACAGGCACACACACAAACATAAATGCAAAAATAAACATAAGAACATAAGAGATGCCAATGTTGGATCAGGCCAAGGCCCATCCAGTCCAACACTCTGTATCACACAGTGGCCAGAAATACCAGTGCCATCAGGAGGTCCACCAGTGGGGCCAGGACATTAGAAGCCCTACCACTGTTGACCCCCCCCCCCCAAGCACCAAGATGACAGAGCATCACTTGCCCCAGAGTCCCTATCTATACCTTGTGGCTAATAGCCACTGATGGACCTCATACAGAGAGAGAGAGATGGAACATGACAGTAGAATAGCAGAGAGATTAAAAGTAATGAGATGAAGTGAACCATCAATGTGGTGATTGACCCAAGTGAGGACTCTGGGCAATCCCAAATTCCACACCAGTACAGAAAAGGCATTGGGCACGAGGTGGAGACTGCAGCATCCCGTGTATTTCTGCTTTGACATTAAAAAGACAGCAAGTTGCTAGTTCTTATGATTGCAAAGTTAGGCAGTACCACTACTCTCTCATACTTAAGGAGATCCCAGAAACAGGCGGTGTAGTGTGTGTGGCATCTCCAGTGTCCCTCTGCTCCTTGCCTGCTTTGAAATGCCTGAAATTAGGGATGGGCACGAACCGGGAAAATGGAGTTCGGTTTGGTTTGTGGTTTGGATCATGGCTCAGTTCATGCCCATTTTCCCAGTTCGTGCCCATCCCTGCAGAAAGGGACTGCAGAAGATAGCCCGAAACAGCTGCATGGCCGGGAGCACCTCCCCATCACTCAGCTGTTTTTGTGGCTTTCTGCTCCATCCACAAACTGCTCTAAGAGTTAGTGGAAGTTTGTGATGGTAGACCTGTCATGAATGTCTGTTCACAAACCAAAGAGGCCAAAATTCATGACACAGAACAGTTTTCTAGATATAATCCATCATCTGAAATGCTCTAATAGTTTGTGTCATGGATCTTTTGACCTTTAATCCTGGTGTTTAGTGTGGCTAGAAGCCCTTTCATGTCAGTTTCATTCTGGAAAAAATATGTAAGGGAACACAGTGCTATAATTGGCAAAAACACACCAAAAAACACTGTGAAGATTCACTTATAAACAATGTGTGAACCAAATAAAGAGTATTACAAATTCATGTCATTAGATTTATATAAACTTCAAGAATCTTATACTAGAATGAAAACTTCCAAAGTGCTCTTTAAACATATTAGACAACTAAACAATTACAAAGCTAAATCCAAATCATAAAAGTAAGTCAGTTCAACAGGTAAGTCTTCTGAAAAAATAATGACTTTCTCAATTCAACAGGTAAATCTTCTGCAAAAATAGTGGCATCAAGGCCACCTGAAGCTTCTGTGTTTCACAAATAACGAGGGGTCATTTCGTAGAAAAAGAGGTGCAGAAGCTCATTAGCATAACTCATTAGCATAACTTATTTGCATATGCCACACCCCCTGACATCACTGGAAGTGTGTCAGAAAGCAACACCCACCACTCAGGCTCCACTGGACTGTTTTGGATTGCTAGCTATTGGGGGGGACGGACGTGCAGATCTGCCCTCACAGAGGAGGGAGAGCTTGTACCTGAAGGCAGGATGGGGGGGGGGCTCTGCAACTTACCTGGCTGGTTCTTTCTCCTTGAGGCCAGACTGAGGGCTGCTGGGAGCAGGGGGCAGGGCTTGTTGCATGTGCCTGCCTCCTGGGCTCCTTACTGCCGGAGCTCCGCTCTTGTGTGCTCCCACAGGAAATGACCCCTGCAAATAACAATTCACTAGCAAGCATATATAAATCTTCCTGTGGACTGTGTCGCTTTCCAGCAGACTAACGCGTTTCCCAGGTTAGATCACGTTTCCAATCTTCATCAGAGTCAAGAATAAGGATTTTCATATGGAACTCACAAACTCATCAGAATTCTCACCACTTCCCATAATCGAGGCGTTAACTGCTTCACACTCAGAAGGGTTGGTAGAAGCTTCAGTGGTTATGTAGCTGATGGGTTGTAACTGATGTCTTTAGTTCTCTGATATGGTGTTGTGCATGTTTAACGTGCACTTTGGAAGTTTTCATTCTAGTACAAGATTCTTGAAATTTATATAAGTCTAATGACATATGGATTTGTGATAGTCCTTTTTTGGTTCACACCTTGTTTATAAGTGAATCTTCAATCTGATTGTTGTGTGTTTTTACCAGCTTCATTCTGGAGACAAGTTTCCATGTTTTCAAGTGGACATGATGTGTATGTAGCCACTGCTAAAGTGGTGTTGACACAAGTCTTAAGATGTGTGTTGCTGTCATTTTTAAAACAATGTCAGAGCAATCCCAGAGAAACAATCTGCTATACTGGATTCTGAAAAAAAGACAGCAGGGGTGCCATGGAGTCAAACCCACTTGTCGTTTCCAAGCACTCTTGTAGGTTGCACATCCGAGAGCCTGGAGGTTTGGAGTGATGTTCACACACGCTCTTGTCCTTAGGTGCGTTGTCTTCCACACTGATGCACTGCACTGCTCTTTGCTGAACGCCTCCTCCACACGAAGCAGAGCACTGCAAAGGATGTGATTAATTTACCTAAAGACATTTTGATCAGCAAGGGGCCACCCGCATTTTAAGAGGACGTGAAATCTACAGTGCTTAGTCAGCCCAAGAGTCTACCTAGCTCAGCTTCCTGGTTTACCAGAAGCAGTCAGATTATTATTATTGTTGTTGTTGTTGTCATCATCGCCGCCGCCACCACCACCATCATCTTTATATCCCGCCCTTTCCTAATGGGATTAGGGTGGGTAACAACAAGTGCATAAACAATTAAAACCAGGTAATATAATTAATTCTTAAAACAACTAAAACAACAGACAATTAAGAGATGGCGAATTAAATATATCAGTTCATGCCAATGCTCCCTCTAAGCTGTGGAGTTTTGTGAGCAAAAAATCCTACTGTGTGAGCTACCGGCATTAAAGCTGTGAGCGAGCGACTTGGCTACGGCATCAATTAGTCTGCTCTGGAGCCCTCCTTCCTGAGCCGAGACAAAAATGTGTGAGCCGGAGGCTAAAAAACTGTGAGCTAGCTCACACTAGCTCAGCTTAGAGGGAACACAGGTTCGGACCCCCTCTAAGCCAGACTGATGGTAACTGGAGTCAACTAGTATTGCTCATATAATACCCGGCAACTTCTATGGGGAGGCTTACTAGTGAGGCATGAACGTTGGATCCATGATCTGCAGTTAATCCCCAGTTCCTTGATAGTTAGAACGACCTGGACTGGGCTGCTGCCGATAAAGACAGGTTGCTTACCTGTAACTGGTGATCTTCGAGTGGTCATCTGTGCATTCACACCCTTGGGAATATACTGCGCCTGCGCTGACCTTCTCGGTACCGGTAGCTAGCAAAAGGGATTTTCGCGCCTCTCCCAGGTCACGCGCCGGCTCCACTGCGCATGACCAAGGAGGGGCACGCAGATCCCGCCAGTTCTCTTCTGACCGCCGCGCTGGTAGGACGCCTTCTGCTTCGGTCTGTTAAGTACCTAACTTTCTGCTAAACTTGCGTTTAGTTAGTTTCCTTTTCTTTATTTTGTTTTTTGTAGTTAGCATTTTTCTTAAAAAGTTTGGTACTTAACAGACCGAGGCAGAAGGCGTCCTACCAGCGCGGCGGTCAGAAAAGAACTGGCGGGATCTGCGTGCCCCTCCTTGGTCATGCGCAGTGGAGCCGGCGCGTGACCTGGGAGAGGCGCGAAAATCCCTTTTGCTAGCTACCGGTACCGAGAAGGTCAGCGCAGGCGCAGTATATTCCCAAGGGTGTGATGCACAGAGACCACGAAGAAGATCCACCGAAACCAATGGCTAAAAGCGGAACATGAGCCAGGTGGGCTCCAGTTGGACTGAGAGAAGGCATACTCTTCTTTTTCTTGGCCCACCCTCTTCTCTGTGGCCACCCAGGAGCCCTGTCCTTCTGCTGATTTTCAGCTCTCGAGGCTGGCACAGTACAGGTGAGGAGAAGGAGATGGGAGCATGGATACGCTGGGTACCAGGACAAAAATGTGCACCCAGCCCTTGGGGGTAAAGGGAATTTATTTATGTATTTTATTGACATTAGTTCTAGTGCACCTTTCTCACAGGGATTCGAGGCGGATTACTCATAGCGAGTCCGTGCAATCAACAAAAATGGGGTGTAACAATAACCAGGGCATTAGGGTTCTTTTAAAGAAAAGCAAATCTGAACCAAAGAAGCCCCGTTATTGCGCTTAAGAGTCACTCTTCTCCTGAGTAATCCTTCATTTTGGTCTGAACGTACCAGCTCTGAAATCTTATTTTGCAAGCCGGGGCCCAGTCCAAGAACATGTGAAATAAAGAAGACTTTATCTTTACTGATATGTGTGGAAAACCTTTCCGCCTGAGCATTAATTACAGGGAACTCCAGTGCTTGTTTAAGGGCACACCTTTCAAATTAAAGGTCCTTTTGTGCCAGTAAGTCTGTTTTAACAAAGCAACGGCACCATTCAAAAGTCGCTTTGCTTTGCTTTACAAGATCGGTTTGCTTTTTAAATATGGGACCTGGAACAGCAGCCAGCGACTGGAAGACCTTGGAGCTGAGCTGAGCTTGCTGGCATCCCCAAAGAGGAAGTGTTGAGCCTGATTAATCAGCCACATCCGTCCTTTCCAGATTAAATGCCCATAAACCCTCGTGAGGCATAATGGCTTTGCCTGTAATGGATGGTTAATTGCTCTGCCTAACAAGCTTGTTTTACAGACAACATACCTCGTCCCATGCTTCTGCACGCCATTCCAAACAGGGCTCTGTATTGCAGCTAACGTTCAGTTGCGGCTTGCGTCCTTTTAACTGGCAATGGAAGGGCCTCAGCACTCTGTTGTCACGAATGTCTATGCAGTAGGCTGCACGGGTCTTGAAGCCACCGCTGCAATTAGAAGAGCACTGCGTAGGGAACAGAGAGGGAGATTTCAATGCACCGCAGCAGTGACTCTGATGGCAGATCTTGATTGCAATGAAATAATAATAATAATAATAATAATAATAATAATAATAATAATAATAATAATAATAATAATACCGTGGAGGTTCCATGCCAAGGGAGAGGTGCTGATCACAGGACAAGCCGGCGCACAATGAAGAAGCGCGTGCCGCGGCAAACTGTTTTGCTTTTGTGTGTACACGACGAATGCGCATGCTCCGTTGGGTGCGTGTGCGCATCCACAGAGACGTGGACAAAAAACCCCACCTTCTTCGCAAGGGGACATGGGCGGGCGCCGGATGCCACCGGAAACGCGATCAGACACCCGCCCTTGCCCCGCAGTTTCCGGAAACTAGTACCTCCGAGGTACTAGTTTTTTGCCACGCAGTTTCGGCTGGAAGCCTCGGTTGTGCCACGGGAGTGCTACGCTTCCCAGATGTGCTGGTGAGATCGCGCCCGGAAACTCCGCCTGTTTTCCATCTCACTTGTGTGGCTTCTGTTCCGTGTGACCGCAGCCTCCATTTATTAATCGCTTTCCCCAATGGGCTCAAAGCGATGTACAGTTACTCAATATAGACAAGGGACTAACAATGTTTGTAGGGGATAGGGAAGACAACATATATTCATTTTAATTGCACGCGCCGTCACTGCCCGGTGTAGACATCTTCTGGCTGGCTCCGTCATTTTCGCACACGGCTGCTTGCTGGCCAGGCTTCAGGACCTGTATGTCAATCGCCACACTGCCACCGCCTGGCCGGAACATCCATTGCAGGGGTTCTTTTCGTAGCCGAGAAGCTGTTTCGCCTTACAAGCCTTGACCAGGACGTCCGACCGTCAGCTAACGCCCTCCCACAAGGGAGATTGGCGTGCCCACCCTCTCTAAGGAGTGGTTCCCATTTTATCTACTCGCTGAAGCTTTTGAATCGGTGGGTGGACGATGAGCTGGGGACAACAGGCTGGCTGCTCACACCAGCGCGGGGCTCAAACTAACACAGTTCAGATGTTAAGACAGTGGGATATACCCACTGTGCCACCGCTCCCCGTCTCGTGCCATTTCCTGCATTGTGCAAGGGGTCTGACTAGATGACCCTGGGCGTCCCTTCCAACTCTGTGATTCTATGATTTCACTAAAAGGCCTTCTGCCCATTCCAGGTTTCATTTGGCTCTAGGCAAAGGCTTCTCTGGCCACCACCGTGGCTCCCATGTGTACCTCCCATGCCCACCTGCCTGCGTTCTCCTCTCCCACTGGCCACCATGCATCCTTCCCCCACCCACTTCTTCATTTGCCAGCCCTCCCAGTGGTCACACACTGTTCCCTGACTGTATTGGACACTGTGTACAACTGGGAACACTCGTATTCTGCTATTGAGAGTGTCGCTGCCATTCACTTCCTCCACACCCTTCCTCCTGGCAGTACCAGGTAGTATAATCAAACAGGAATGAGGATGGTAGGAAGTACATGAGAGCAGACATCTTGGCTTGATCTTGCTTATTCCTCAATAACACCCTCACTGCAATGTGGGCCAGGACTCCAAGTGCGGCTAGGATTGCCAGCTCTGGGTTGGGGAATCTCTAGAATCATAGAATCACAGAGCTGGAAGGGGCCATACAGGCCATCTAGTCCAGCTCCCTGCTCGATGCAGGATCAGCCTAGAACACCCTTGACAAGTGTTTGCGCAGATTCTGCTTAAAGACTGCCAGGGAGGGGGAGCTCACCACCTCCCGAGGCAGCTGATTCCACTGCTGAACAACTCTGACTGTAAGAAAGCTTCTCCTAAGAGCCAGCCGGTACCTTCCCACCCTTAATTTAAAGCCATGATTGTGACTCCTATCCTCTGCTGCAATCATGTCCCCCCTCAACCTCCTCTCCTCCAGACTGAACATTCCCAAGTCCCTCAGCCTTTCCTCATAGGGCTTGGTCTCCAGGCCCTTGATCATCCTCGTCGCCCTCCTCTGCCACCCGCTCCATTCGGTCCACATCCTTTTCCTAGAGATTTTGGGGGTGGAGCCTGAGAAGGGAGGGGAGGGACTTAAACGCCCTAGAGTCCGCCTCCCAAAGTGGCCATTTTCTGCAGGCGAACTGCTCTCCATCACCTGGAGATAAGTTGTAACAGCAGGAGATCTCCAGCTACCACCTGGAGGTTGGCAACCCTAAGTGGGCCTCTGCTGGGAAGGCCAGCAAAGGCGATGAAACTAGCAGTGGGCTCTGTGAGCCGAATCCTTGCCTCACATAGTTAAAACAAGTTGTCGTCCTGCATTATGCCTGAGCTGAGCCACAGTGAATCCAGCGATCAGGAATGTTAAGTGCAAAATCCTCCTCTCATCCTACAGCTTTGATCGTGTGCCTCTCAGAAGACTCAAAACCTCTCAGCACTTTTAAATCTGTTACGAGCTGCAAATGCAAAAGATATTGCCTTAGATGAATACATCTTCTCTTGACGAGAAAGAAAACACATCTATGGATAATTGTGAAAAGAGGCATTTTTTTCGAAGAACTTTGAAGGGTGTGAACAAAGAGCAAAACAAAACACTATAAATAACCTGGATGACAGGCAGAAAAACATCTGCATGAAAATTAGCTCCCTGCTTGGATTTAAAATCTCTCCAGCGCGTCTTGATTTAATTAGATTTCCCTTTCGGCTCTCTTCCTTAATGGCCCTGAAATGATGAAGATTGCTTGGTGGATAAGAAGACTGATCTGAAATTAGTGCTCAGAACTATTAAGGGGTGTTTGCAGGATTTCCGGAACCTGAGAGCCACTGTGGTGTAGTAGTTGAGAGCAGGGGTCGTTTCATAGAAAAAGAGCTAGGGAAACTCATTAACATAACTCATTAGCATATGCCACACCCCCTGACATCACTGGAAGTGTGTCATAAGGCCACACCCCCTGACATCACCAGAAGTGTGTCATAAGGCCACACACCCCGCCCCCAATGGTCCCGGCCGCCACCGGCGGCCTTGCAGCTCCACTGCCGAGCCCTGTGAGGGGCCCGGCGGTGGACCTGCAAGGCCGGCGGGAGTGCAAGGAAGCCCCGCAAAGGCCCTCCCTGGCCCCAGGCAGGCAGGGGTGGGGAGAGGCAGGGAGGAAGCAACTTACCCTCCCTTTTCTCCTGCCTCCTCCTGGCTGAATGAGGGCCAGAAGCGGGGCGGCCGGAAGCAGGGGGCGGGGCTTCGTCATGTGCCCCGCCCCCCGTACCTCACCCAGGGGAACTGCGAAATGACCCCCCGAAATGACCTCTGGTTGAGAGTGTTGGGCTAGGATCTGGGAGACGCAAGTCTGAATCCCCACTCGTGCCACGGAAGCTTGCTGGGTGACCTTGGGCCAGTCGCACTCTCTCAACCTAACCTACCTCACAGGGCCGTTGTGAAGATAAAATGGAGGAGAATGACGTAAGCCACCGTGGGTCCCCACTTGGGAGGAAAAGGGGGTCTAAATGAATGAAATAAACTTTTTGCCGTTCTTCAGCACCCTTCGTGAACATCCCCATCTGCAGTTCTTTGGATTAAGGACAGAGAATTGTGCATCTTGAGATCACTTTTGGCACCCCAAAAGCAAGGTAGAAATAAAACACATTTGAGGGGCATTACTTTGCTCCATTCTCCGGCTTTCCACTGGGCACAGGGAGGGAGATAGCACCTTCGGGCCGGATCGGGTTTCTTAATGTGCCGGCAGTCGGATTCGTTCTTGGTGCTGCACTCCACGGCTCTCCAAAAAGCCCCCACGCCACATGTGGTGGAACACTGCAGAAAAAAGAGGGGGGGGGGAAAGGGGGGGGAATGCCTTCAGTTGTGCAACTTTGTAAGTACATTGCCATGATGTCCTCTGGAGATGAAGTTAGGCTCCTCATTGCAGCCCACAGGGGCAGAGGACAAATGGAATCAGAAGCTAATTTGCACTGTCGTTTGTTTGAGGCAACATATTTAATGCAGGGGAGAAATTAACAGAAAACGATGGTGCCTTCGCTCGGGGCAGAGGCTGGAACATCTGGAGCGTCACGTGCACTGTGAAGGCAGTCTTTGCTGGACTCTGATGACTTTTAAAGATCTTTGTGAAGCTGGCTTCCCGCCCCCACCCCCACCACCCAATTCTGCCTCAGCTGTTCTTTCTTCTAAATCCTGACAGCTCAGAAACGAGGGTGTCAAATATGCAGGTCACTCCTCACCCGGCATTAAGCACTCTTTCAAATCTGACAGCTCTTTTATGGATTTTGTGAACATTCTAATCCACTCCCCCCCCCTTTCTGCCCTGCAGACTGAGAATGGATATGGAGATGAGATCTACTTGCCAATACAGTTTCGGGGTCACAAATGGAGAGAATTTTCCTCAGATGGACAGCGCTTCTGTAGGGGAAGCGGGAACCACTCTCTATGGATCGCAGCACACCTGTTTCTGTGCGTGTAGACGCGGGACGTAAAATTCTAACACCCACCCAGATGCCTGCAGCCAAAGGAACTGGCTGGCTGGTTCAAATCAATATGTAAAATACAAAGCCCTGTAGGTCTCATAGTTGCCACTTCTAACAGCCCGCCCCAGGTAAAACGTCTCCCAGGAAAAGCCACTCAGGTTGCTATTTTCCAACCCCTTCCTATCCTCTTCCCTCCCATACTGTGCTAAGACTGTAACCGTAGCCAAACTAATACCTCTCCAATACTTCACCCAAACTGAACTGTGTACACTGTACAGCCGAAAGCTTTAAAAGCAAGTGGCTTTATTGCCACTAGTGCAATACGATATATTTATATAGCACCTTTCTTAAATACGTTCAATATTTCACACTCTTTCTTTCATCATTCTCACAGGCCAACATAGTTGTTGCATTACTATCCCTGTTTTACTGGTGGCGGGTGGGTTTGAGGCTGTGAGACACAGTGGCTTGCTTGAAGCCACCCAGGAAGCTCATGACCGAGCTGAACTTTAAATTGGGGACTTTCCTGCCCCAACGCTTTCTGTATAGACCCACATGACATGTGGTGTTGGGTCATTTAGCTATAAAAGCAGCTGCACAGATTGGTGCCACAGCACCAGAGAAGGGGAGGGGGGCGAGCTCTTTCTTCCTTGCCATTTCCTTAATCAAGAATGTGTCTCAGATGCTGCGATCCTAGCAGGCAAAAAAAGACAGGTTTCCATTTTGTGCTTTTCTTTTTCTCCCTACCAGGGTTTCGAGTAGTCCATTTTCAACGGGGGAAATGGCACTGGGAGGAAAATTCAGCCTGCTTTCCCCAGCACTAAGGTCCATCTTGCGAAACAGCCGGACTTAGGAGGCCAAGAAGCCCCACATACTTCTATCATTTTACAAAATGTGCAAAAAAGAAATGTTCTAGAGGACACCTTTATAAAGAGATTAGAACTGTAGTATAATGGAACAGTTTAGGAGGGTGATGAAGGGAGCGCTGACCCTCCACATCTTATACCCCGGAAATCTTGTTGGTTTCTAAGGTGCTACTGGACTCAAATCTAGTTGTTCCATTGCAAACCAACATGGCTACCCTCTGAAACTGACTGCAGTTTATTGCAATGTTTATCATATGTGTCTCCTTCCTCTTTCTGCAGTGTTTTCTACTGCACTGTAGGGGATGTGCAAAAAAAACCCTGGTATTTTTCAGGCTCAGGTATATTGAACCCGAAAAATATGCTATTTCCTGATATTTCCAAATCCCAATACTGGTGTGGTGTTCAAATTTGGTAAATATTCAGGATTGCTGAATTTTTTCCCGGCTCTATTATACCTTATGGAGACCATTATAAGTCAATGGTCCCCATAGGGTATAGTGGAGAATCGAACTGGGGGTATCTGGGGCTCTGTGGGGACTGTTTTTGGAGACAGAGGCTCCAAATTTGTAGTGTAGCTTCTGGTGCCTCTCCTCAAAAAACCCCACAAGTTTCAAAAAGACCAGGGGGTCCAATTCTATGGGCCCGAGAAGAAGGTGCCCCCATCATCCATGGTTTCCACTGGAGGGAAAAAGGCATTTAAAGGGCTTGCAGTCCCTTTAAATGCCTTCTCCAAGCTGCAGCTTCACCCAGAAGGTGTTTAAAGGGACTTCAGTTCCTTTAAGCACCCTTTAAGGCCAGCTATCCGGCAGCCCTGAGGAGTCCTAAATATTTTAGGGATTTTTTATTCTGGCTCAGCTGTACCAGATAGCTGGATAAATACCCTGACTGAAATCTGGCTGAAAAAAATACCAGAAAAATACTGGTAAGGTAGTTTTCGGGAGGGGGGGTTTGGATCGGATAAACCAAATGCCCACCTCTACTGCATTGTCTCTTACTTTCTGCATTAAGGTAGAATATGCCATGCCTTAGACAGATTTTATTTGTGTGCGGTGTTCTCCAATTCCGTAATCCCAGTCCCACCAGCATTGTTTATTGGAAATCTGTTGTTGGAAATCTGTTGTTGGAAATCTGCTGTATGATCAAACTGTCTTTTGTAATCTGCCTTGAGTCCTAGTGAGAAAAGCAGGCTATACAATAAATAATTATTGCCCCCAGCTCCAGGTGGGGGCAGGGGTACCCCAATTTCACATGCTTCTCCCCCCCCCAAACCCCACCAATAGCTTATAAAGGCACTCAATAGCTTATAAAGGCACCAATAGCTTATAAAGGCACTTCAGCAGTTTCCCAATCATCCCCCTTTCTGCAGTCCTGCTGTATACCACCTAGGTCATGGGGAGTCTTTCAAAAACATCCCCATGAGCCTTTGGGAAACATGCTTTTGAAAGACTCACCATGACCTAGATAGTATACAGGAGGACTGGGCTAGCAGATAGTGGGATTGTTGGAGATGTATTCAAGGTGCTACTCTTGAGTGCCCTTCTAAGTTTGGGGTGAACTCTAGCAGCAAATTCACTGTTTGGAGTTCAGGCACATGTGGCCACCGCTTCTTGCAAATCGCATTCAAAGGGTTCCTTTAAATGCTATTTGCAATAAGTGTGTGCGTGGGGGTGAACTCCAGCAGTGAATTTGCAGTTTGGAGTTCGGGTGTGGAGGATGCTGGTTCCCAGACTGATGATGTCACTTCTGTGTGATGTCACTGTGTTTTGTGGATGTCCCCTTCTCCTCCATGGATGCCCCCCAAAGTCCCCTGCTGGCAACGAGGAAGGACTTGGCAACCCTAATCAGAAGATCCACCCATGGATCCCTCGTGTAGCCTGGCCCTGTGCTATAATGGACACACACCCCACTGGTGACAGAATCAGCATGCTGTTTATACGCCATTTCTCACACACAAATGCTATCAGCATAAGAAATTAATCATGTGTTCATTTTCAGGCCAACAGGAGGTCAGCCTGAAAACAGTCCTTGCAGCGCCTAGGCCTTCAGCCAGCTGGCAGGCATGCCGTTCAACAGATAGGGATTTGGCAGCACAAAGGGAGGTTAGGGAAGTGTTTGTGAGCCTAATGGCAGATGATGTAGGAGCCGTGGCTTTTCCTCCTCCAGTTTGAAAAAATTCATATTCACTCATACAAAACTGGAAGAAATTCAGGTCATAAGAACATAAGAGACGCCAATGTTGGATCAGGCCAAAGGCCCATCCAGTCCAACACTCTGTGTCACACAGTGGCCAGAAATACCAGGTGCCATCAGGAGGTCCAGCAGTGGGGCCAGGACATTAGAAGCCCTCCCACTGTTGACCCTCCCAAGCACCAAGAAGACAGAGCATCACTTGCCCCAGAGTCCCTATCTATAGCTTGTTGGCTAATAGCCACTGATGGACCTCTGCTCCAGATGCTTATCTAATTCCCTTTTGAAGCCGTCCATGCCTGTAGCCGCCACCACTTCCTGTGGCAGGTCATGGTAAGGCTACTCTGAGCTTCTCAGAACCCCTCAGACAGTTCACCTGAGAAGCAAACCTCAAATTCGCTTCAAATTTCACAACAGGCAAAATGCTTTGGGCAACCCAAGCATGCACCCCTGAGAAATTTCACCAGTTGTATTTAAATTCTTTTGACTTCCTCTGAAAACCCTCGCACATTTGGCCAGAGCAGAGACTTACCTCCCTAATTATTTTAATTTTATATCTGGCAAACTTTTGATGACAACTCTAACTTCAAATCAGATTAAAGTGCTTGAAAGTAAATGGGTCGAATACCACACAAGCTGCCTCAAACAGAGTTAGACCACTGGCTTATCTGGGCTCAGCAATAGCTAGCCTGCTGGCAATCTCAGGAATAGAAAAGGCTTTTCTGACACTAGCTATCATGGTCCTTTGAGTGGAGATGCTGGGGACTGAACCTGGGACCAGGGCTGGGTCCAAGTGTTTTGTTGCCACAAGCAAGATATATTCACTGCTTCCTCTTGTGCTGCCACCAGCCAGATCCAAGCAAAGTCCCTGTGTGCCAAGGCTACAGGGGCTTGGCTCGGACCCTCTGCTCGTGGTGTGGATTTAAGAGGTAATGCCCATTACTTCCTGCACTACTCATGGCTGGGTGCAAGTCCAGCCCCTCTGGTGGCACCTGAGTCCTCCTCATGGTGCCATCTAAAGTATTTGTTTTGGCCAGGGGTCCCCAACATGGTTCCTGTGGGAGCCCACTGAATCTTTTCTGGTGCCCAAGTGTTTCCAGAAAGTGTGCAGGCCAAGGTGGGTCTTTTCCCCAGCAAGGCTTCTGATTGGCCACTGGAGATTTGATTGGCAGCGCAGATTTTTAATAATGTTGCTTGAGCAGCGGCAGCCACCACAACACAAAGATCGTCTGTGTGACTGAAGGTAAGCTGGGGGGACCGTTTTGTAGCTTGGCTCTACCTC